AACGGGATCCATATTTGCTAATCTAGCTCTAGGAGAGTCAAAATTACTCCACTGATGTTCCCTCCCACTTCTTCTTGAATCAACAGTACTAAATGATATTCTAAAGTCTCAAGTCTTAGTAGTATTACCTCCCCCAGGTTCATAAACTGAATCTTGACCACTTCTTGCTCTTCGGCATTGTCTCTCTTCCCATTCAAATTTGGATCTTATACTTTCTTGTCTTACAATAGTTAACTCCTCATCATTTGAATCATTATTATCATAGTTTCCATGATCTTCTAATCTTATTCTTTCCTCCAATTCTTGTTTTCTTTTCTGCTTCAAAGCTTTTTCATTATGATATTCCTTAAGTTGTTGAGCAATGTTTTTCCTAACTTCAGCCGAGACATTTAGACAAGGTGCTACACTTCCTTTTTTTTGCAGCCAACTGCTCTTTCAATCTTGTTATTCCTCCTTTGATAATTTTGTCACATAATTTACATATAATATTATTACGATTGCCTTCAAGATTTTATCCCCACCTCCAACCGTAATCATCACTACGAGCTTTACCTTGTTTACTTTTTGAATGTGGAATTTTTCTTATAGTTGCATATAATTAAATAAGCTAATAAAGTATTCAAAAATAAAATAATAATTATAAAACTTAAAACTAACATTAAAGCAGATTAAAAATTAAAACAAATACTTAGATAACAAAATATTAATGTAACTAACTATTAATTACATATTTAAAATAATTCTTTCATGACAATCATATAACAATCCTAAATTCAACTTTTAAGATAAGTTTAATTTTTGAATTAAGTAATAAACAAAATAATAATAAAATAATTTACTTGCAGAAAAACAAATATGCGAGTCACTCCACTACAGAACACTTTTCCTACTAAGCAGACTAACCGAAAGATCTTCAAAGAAAATCCACCACCATAGAAAATGTTGCTTTGGTTGAATCCCAATGAACAAACTCTCTTAGAACAATGAGAAGTACTCACAACTTAGATGAAACTTTATTGCACCAAGAATGTTTTTGGACCCTAAGTCAATGAAATTGTGTATATCAATTTTAGTGCCCTCAATTATTTGCTTTAGTGTTTTGTCTCTTACACACACACTATTACTTTTTTATGTCTCTTACACACACTATCAAGAAATATATTTATTTTATTTTATTTATTTTCATTGGTCTAATCCCAAATTATGTAACATGCCTATCAATTATTTGATTTTCTACGCCTCTGCCTCTACACGCACACACCACCACTTTTTTATTTTGTCAATGAATATATTCCTTTTTATTTTATTTTTATTATTATTTATTTATTTATTCTTTATATTATAGATTAGATAAAATTTTATAGTTTAATAGTAAATAGATAAAATGCATATACTATTATAGTATTATAAAGTGAATTCATCTCTTATACAAAATTTATATAATAATAAATAAACATATAATTATGATACTTAATGTTAATATAAAAATTTAATTTAAAATTAATCACGTCAATTTTAGATATGAAAAAAATCAATTTAAATTAATTTAATTTTAAAATAACATTAATAAAATAATTTAATTAATTCAAATTTAAGTAACTAATTTTAAACATAAATATTACGATATTATTAATGTTATATATTTATAATCCAGTTTTAAGAATTAAATTAGAACAATTCATCTATGTAATTTTATATTTCAGATAATTTAAAGTTTGTTGCGGTGTTACGGACCAATTTATAGTGTGTTGCGGTGTTACGTAACGGTTTTTGACCTCAACAATCATGGTGTGGCTCCCTTATCGCATTGTGCCGATATTACGCCGTTGTAACCTTCAAAAACGTTACGATGCAGAGGTTACACTGCGTTGCGGACTCATTTTAGTAGTATGCTTCCAACTGCTTCAAAATCTCTATAAACTCATTTTTTGCTTCCAACGGTACCTCCCCTTTGCATCTCCATATATTCCCGCATGCATCAAATACCTGCCAAACTCACAAGTCACAACATGTTACTTTATGTTATTACAAGGTAAAGTTCAAACTAATGTAAATGGATATGTCCTCGAATATGTAAACCGCCTTTTTGTCGATATAATAAGCCCAGAAGAGTGCCTGAGCTCGGCCATACGAACACGGTGGGGGCAGCGGAGGGGAAGACCTGGTCTCATCGATGCAGCTAACGATGATGGTGGACTCACACAAGGGTTTTCCGTCGTGAAGAAACACGGGGACTTTCTTGTAGATGGGGTTCGAGTTTAGCAGTAACTCGCTTTTTCCGCCGAACAAGTCCTTCGGTCGAGCTTCGTATTGAAGGCCTTTCTCGTTCAAAGCGATCTTCACCCTCATGCAGAAAGGACTAACCCAAAAGTCAAGAAGAAGAGGTCGGCCTTGGACATCTTGAATTTCTGTGTATTTTGTGTTGGTTCTGCAATGGAGAAATGAGTGGAAATTGTACCAAATTTCGGACTACGTTCTGCAGTGTGACGAAGGTTTCGAAGCTCGAATCTTGCTAAAGGTTGAGTTTTCTTGGTAGCACATAATGATCATCAGAATTTATTATATATGCTCACAAGGTTTGTCTGTATTGATCGGAAGATAGTGATAATAGATACTCGTCGTCCACACCGCGAGTTGTAACACTCTCTTCTATCTTGTTCGGACGTACGGTATAATGGGAGACGTCACTTTTGAATGTAACCTTTTTACAACTTCCATACCCTATTTACATTATGGGTAATTAATATTAGTGGTATTTTTTGTTTTTGATATGTTTTATTTTAATCACCGATTTTTTTTAAAATATATATATATATGTTTTGATCATATTTTTATCTATTTTATTTTGATTAGTGAACTGTTGAGTCCCGCTAGTTCATGACATAACAGGTTGGTAAAAATATTTAAAACTTAACTTAAACCTTAAATTTTGAATATAACTTGACCCGTTAATTTCTTTATAGGCAAATTAAATTTATTTTATTATGACTCATTCTTTAATTTAATCGTTTGTCTTAAAATCGTGACAAAAATTTATTTTATTTAATTTAGTTTCTAACTACTTGTAAAGAATCATAAATGTGCGTTGTCAAGGATCATGATTGGTATGGGGCAATTTTCTATTCCGATGGGTTATATAAGACCAAGTTGTTTGATATCACACACACAATTAATATACAAGGTTGGGCAAGCACTAAGCTGCTCCTTTCTTTTAGGACTTCTTTTTTTTAGTAAAATGTGTTCATTTGGCAAAAGCTTTCATATTCCAATTCTTTTCGCAAAAACTGGCTTAAAACATTAATAGTCGAATGAACAGTGTTTTTTGTTTATTAGTTTTTTATTTGTTTCAAAATTATACAAATATTAAATTGTTTATTTTAATAGTCGATTGAACAGTGTTAATTAAAATATATCTTTGAGATATAATGTTAGAAAGTAAAAGATGTATTAATTTCACGAGAAAAAATTTAACGAAAAAAATCTACGAGGATAAGAGTAAAATTTTCATTAATATAAAAAAATATAATTGGATTTGCGGAATTGACTAACTTGTTGAATTTCATGTAAAAATTAATTATTTTTACTAGGGATCGGTTGGGTCGAGTAATTTAACGAAAAAAACTATGAGGATAAGAGTAAAATTTTCATTAATATAAAAAAATAATATAATTGGATTTGCGGAATTGATTAACTTGTTGAATTTCATGTAAAATTAATTATTTTTATTAGGGATGGGCATGGGTCGGATTTTGGGTAACTCAACCCAAAAATTTTACATCTTTCACCTGATCTGACACAACCCAAAATATATATATCCTCCACCCGACCTGAATCTAACCCGATTTTTTGAGATAAAATCTGAATCTGACTCGACCCAAAATAATAAAAAAAAAAATTTATTTAATAAAAACAATATTTTAATTGGAAAAATAATATATAGGAGTATTATTGTAATTTTTCCTAAACATATAAGGTAAAATTATTTTTTTTGGGTCGGGTAGGGTCGAGTATTTTTCACCCTAAACCTGAATCCGACCCCACCCGAATATCACATTTAAAAAAACTCGACCCGAACCCAAAATTAAAAAAACCCGATTAGATCGGGTAGAAACCCGTCGGGTTCGGGTCTCATGCTCATTCCTAATTTCTATATTTACAAATAAGGGTAAACTATGCATTTAGTACCTAAATTATTTAGTTTCACTATGTTTTAGTACTTAAACTTTTAATTTTTTCAAAACTATACCTAACATTTAATTTTTGTTTCATTATAGTATCTCACCGTTAAAAACTTAAAGAATTGGTTGACGGTGCATAGCTCCTGTGGAAGAACAACTAATCCGAACAGTGAACCACGAGAGAATGACGAGTCAACCAAAATAATTCAGTTTCAGGCCCATCAGTCGATTGACGAAAGAGATAAGAGGATGAATAAATTGAAGAGTTCATCATCGATTTGGAGAGATTGAGGCATTTTTCAGTGAAATAGAGATCGGAATCGCATTCACGGGTCGAAAAAGTAAGGATTAGAAAGTTTGAGATTGATCGACCTACGAATGTGACAACCGTAAACGCGACAGTCGACTAACTTGTCCGTTAAGTTTTTAATGATAAGATATTAAAATGTAACAAAAACTAAATGTTATGTATAATTTAAAAAAATAAAAAAAAAAATATTCAAATAAATTAAAATTGATAATTTATGTAATAAATATATAGTTTGCCCAAATCAGATAACTTGCAAATGGGAGAGTCTAGAGAGCAAATACAAAGGAATGAAGGATAGGTCTAGTGATTCCCCTATAAAAACAATAAGAAATAGAACCTAAAACCTCATACCGTGACGTCATCGATACCAGTGTACCCCTTTTGCAAGCGTCCGATTATATCCATCAACCGAATCTCATCCGTTTATGTTTAGCCATTTTCGCACCTGATCATCAAACAGTATCTAAAGCTGTTTTGGCTTTGGGACTTGGTTTGTGAGGAAAAATTTTGAATTCCAAATAGAGGAGTTTGAAACTCAAAGCATCGTTGAAGGAATTGAATCTTTCGTTTTCGACAAATTCATTGTTGGGTGTGCAAAAGTTAACGGCTACTGAAGAGGTAAATAAGCCTCCCCCACTTCCTTCTTACCCACAGGTACATCTACTCTCCACTCTCCTCAAAATTTATCTCCTTTTTTTTTTACCGATGATCAAAATTTGATCTTTAACCTTTTTTTTATATAGTTTGCTATTGGTTTTTGATGGAATCGGAAAGAAACCCTTTTTCATTCAACCTCAAAGTTCATGAATTTCGATGCAATTTCATGTTATTTTTGCTGATTTAATGCTGATATAGTACATTAATTTTCTAAAAAGCCATTGTCTCTTGTTTTCTCATCTTCAATTCAGTTTATTTGAATAATTTTTCTTCATTTCACTGATTTTTTTTATATATGAAAAAAAAGGACAAGTTGCTTTCAGAATTGTCAGAAAACTTGTATTTCGTGAATGTTTTTTATGTTTATCTCTTCTTTGTTTCTGGCTGCGGTTTTTTATGTTCAGCAGAGAAGCTTCTGCCAATCACATGAGAACTTTATTTTTCGTTTGTAATTTTACATGCTAGTTTAAAATCGCTTGATAATTCATCTAAAGATTTTATCATGCAACTAATTATTAACGCCATTGAAGCATTGAACGACAAGAATGGTTCAAACAAGACTTCAATATCCTAATACATAGAGTCAAAGTATGGAGATTTGCCCACAAGCCATTCCACTCTCCTTTCTCTCCACCTTAACAGATTGAAAGAAACAGGAGAGCTTGTGTTTTGGAAAAACAATTACATGAAAGCCGATCCCAATGCCCCACCAAGGTGTGGCCGTGGTAGGCCTCCAAAACCCAAGGTTCCATTGCCACCTGGTATGGTTTTAAGCTCCGGATGGCCTCGGGGCCGCCCTCCTAAGGACCCCAATGCTCCCCCTAGGTCCCCCAAGCCTTCCGGGAGTGGGAAACCACGTGGAAGGCCGAGGAAGATGGCTCGACCCGAGGGGGAAATAGGTGGGTGCTCCACAACTATGACATCGACCTCGGCCGTAAGGAGACGTCCCCCTAAGGTCAAGGCTTCAACATTGAATGAAGTGAGTGTTGAAAATTGAGAGTAGCTTTTAGTGGCTTTTGACTTGTAGTTGTGCTTACTATTTTACTTTGTCTCCTGTTTGTTTGTTGTAGAATTTGCAGGGAATTTGTTACTGTGAGAATTGTGCGTCTGAGTTTGAAGTGTTCTTGTAGAAAAATCTAATGTAGTTGTGCCTGAGAGGCTTTGAATATTTTCTTTTGAGTTTGAAGTTGTTGTAGAGGATGATTAATGCTAATGATTATCTCTGTTGTTTTCTTTATTCAAGGAATATTGAGCTCGTTTGTCTTTGCTATGAGTTTGCTTCATTATTAATGTTATGCTTTCTTACTGATGATCTCCGAACTCTCCATTTTTTCGGCATATATTTGGACATGAGAATGATATACAAATATATGATGCTTCAACTGTGTGAAGAAAGCGAGCATAACTATATCGAACATATACCGGTGTCGACATTCGAAACATAGATGCTTTCTTGCCTGGATATTCGGAAAGCGTTCAACTAAGCTGTTGCTTTGGGATCATCTGTAGTTGGTTTGAAGTTCAGAACACAGCCCAGTGGTTTATGATTCCTTTTCTTACTTCCATGTTAATTGGGTTGTTTTGTTGGTTTGGAATCATCTTATAATTGGACTATTGGAATATGTATTCCAGAATACTCATAGTTCTAGAATATGCAGGATAGTGTGCATTTGTTCCTATTGTATGAGTGAGTGAGCTGTTATGGTTGTTGAGGGATGCTAGATTGTGTTATGAAAGTTGTTATAAAGATTAAGTAAACTTGAAGGCACAGCTTCTATATAAGCTGGTTGTAATGTAATTGAAAAATAGAGAAATGAAAATAAATTGATAATATTCATTATACTTCACGTTTTCAACATGGTATCTTTCGCTATTGATCTTGGGCGGTTTTTCTGATCTTTCGCTGCTTAAGAAGGAGCTATGATGAACGGCGATGGCTCTCCTTTGCCAATGGAGGTCTCTTCGAGAAGCTCTAAAGGATTCTCCAACAAGAAAGTTAGTGTTGTTCTAGATGAAACTAACTTTCTTTTATGGAAGCAACAAATCCTGTTAACGGTTCGTAGTCACCGTTTGGAGCGATTGTTGTTGGGATCCATGCTTGTGCCATCAGCGACGGTACTTGATGAATCTGGTGAAGAACTACTAAATGAGGTGTATGAGGAATTTGTAGCCCAGGACAGTGCTCTTGCATCCTGGTTACTTTCAACAATCAGTCTATCTCTTCTTCCTCAATTTGTAGGTGCTGAGACAGCCTCTGCTGTATGGGCGAAAGTGCTGCAATTCTTTGCCACATGTCTACTACTGCTGTGATTAATTTACACTACAAATTACAATATCTCAAGAAAGGTGATGACTCAATGCGAGCTTACCTTACAAAAGTAAAGGAAGTTTGTAATGCATTGGCCTCTTGTGGGAGTGAAGTTTCTCAAGCTGTGCATCTGGCTAGCATTCTTAAAGGTTTACCTCGTGATTACCAACCGTTTGTGGTTGTTTTAACAACTATGCGAGAATCTGTGACTCTTGATGCGTTATACAACATGTTGATGGATGTTGAAACGCAGTTGGCAGGATTGGTGAGTCACTTGAGTCTTTTCCTATGAGTGCTAATATGGCTCAAGGAAAAATATCAAGAGGGTTTGAAGAACAGGCTGACTCGAGGTCATCTTCTCGACAGACTTACTCTCGTGGTAGATCAACTGGTCGAGGAAGGGGTCGAGCTCGACTTCAGTGTCAGCTGTGTGGAAAAAATGGGCATCTGGTCGATCGATGTTGGCATCGTTTCGACGAGAATTTTCCTAGTGTTACTGTCAATGGCAACTCGTATTCAAGGGATGATTCTAGTGCAACCTATTATTCTGTTAATGACACTAAGAGTACTGGTTGTGAGTGATGCTTTGCTAAACGAAATGGATCCAAGACATCAGTTGCTTCCAAATCATCTTCCTCTCGTGATCAATGGGTTCTGGATTCAGGTGCCACACACCATGTTACCTCTGATGGTGTGAACATCAATCAATCAGTAGATCTTGATAACCCAGGTAAATTCCTTATTGGTAATGGCGTTGCTTTAGAAGTTCAATATGTTGGCTATGCATCCTTGAATTCATCCTCTCGACTGCTATTGCTAACTGACTTATTGCATGTACCATAAATAACCAAAAATTTGCTCTCGGTGTCAAAGTTTGCTAGAGATAATAATGTATTTATTGAGTTTCATGCACATGAATGCCTTGTTCATGATGAGAAGTCTGGAGCAGTTTTACTTCGAGGCCGAGAAGATGGTGGTCTATATGTCTTTGGTGTGCAGTCTGCAGTTGCTAATGGTGCTAAGACATAAATTAATTCAAAACAGTTGTCAAAAAATGAGTATGATCTGTGGCATCAGCGGTTGGGACATCCCTCGCATGATAGCCTAGTTAAAGTATGTCAATAGATGAATGTAAAACTTCCTTCAAGAAATAATAGTTCAACTTGTGTTGCATGCCATATGGGAAAGAGGCATAAATTACCATTTCCTGACTCTAATTCTGTGTATGACACTCCGTTTCAACTGGTTTTTAAAGATTTGTGGGGGCCCTCTCATTTGGTCTCCAATGGCTACAAATATTATGTAACTTTTGTAGATGCATGTACAAGGCACTCTTGGTTGTATCTGTTGCATGATAAATCTCAAGCATTTGTTGCATTTAAAATGTTTCAGCAGATGATCAAGACTCAATTCGATCTACCTATAAAAGCAGTCCAAAGTGATTGGGGAGGAGAATATAGAAGCTTATCAAGGCATTTACTTCATTGTGGCATTGATCATCGCTTAACATGTCCACATACATCAGAACAAAATAGAGTAGTTGAACGTAAACACCGTCATGTGATTAAACTTGCCCTGGTTCTGCTTGCACAAGCCTCATTTCCATTCAAATTCTGGGCATATGTTGTTGTTACAGCTGTACATTTAATCAACAGGCTTCCTATACGGGTTTAGAAGGGATATCTCCTTTTGAAAAGTTATTTTAAAAGAAACCTGACTATGGATAGTTAAAGGTGTTTGGGTTTTTGTGTTTCCCTCATTTGAGACCTTATATGAAGCACAAGCTTGAATTTTGATCTAAACCCTGTATGTTTTTAGGGTAAAGCCCACAACATAAAGGTTTTCAATGCATTGATTCCACTGGTCGAGTGTATACATCCAGACATGTAGTCTTTGATTAGCTATAGTTTCCTTTTGCAAAACTGCATGAGAAGGTATCTAATGAGTATAATACTCATGTTTCATCTAGTTCTTTGCAAATTGTGGTAGATGTTCATAAATTTCAGCACGTGCCTGCTGAGGGTTATGATAATAATTCTATGACCAACAACAGTCCGGCAACAGTGTCAAGTAATGACTCCAGTTCTAATGTGGAAGCAACGAGCAATAGTCAGAATTAAGCACAAGAAGATGTGGTTGATAGATCGAGTGCTACACAAGATGATGATGCACATGAAGAAACTGTTGTTCCACAGTCTGTTAATGAGTGCACTCCAAGTGAAGGTGGCAACTCTGATATGCCCAAAAATACACACCACATGATGACCAGAAGCAAATGTGGTGTGTTTAAGCCAAAGGTGTATGTTAGTTCGATTGTTAATGAAGAACCCCGCGATGTGTATGAAGCTTTAACATCACCAAGGTGGAAAGAAGTAGTTCAAGCAGAATTCGATGCTCTACTAACAAACAACACATGGACTCTTGTCAAGTTACCTGAGGATCGCACTGCTGTTGGCTGTAAGTGGTTATTTCGAATAAAAAAGAACCCTAATGGGTCTGTTCAAAGGTATAAAGCCAGATTAGTGGCAAAGGGTTATTCGCAAGTTCCAGGTTATGAGTTCAAGGATACTTACAGCCCTGTTATCAAGTTTTCTACGTTGAATATTGTGTTGTCAATTGTAATGACAAGGAAGTGGTGCATTAGACATGTTGATGTAAATAATGCTTTCTTAAATGGTGAGTTAGCAGAGGATGTTTTTATGTCACAACCACCTGGATTTGAAGAATATGTTGTTGATGGAAGTGTTCTTGTGTGTAAACTAAATAAGGCATTATATGGTCTTAGACAAGCACCGAGGGATTGGCATGATAAACTCAAAGCAAGCCTAATTCGATTGGGTTTTACTGAATCCAAGGCTGATGTTTCTTTATTTGTTAGAATTGATGCAGGCTGCCGTATATACATACTTATGTATGTCGATGACATTATAATTACAGGTGACTCATCACCTAGTATTGATAGTATTGTTCATGCTTTGAGTCGTGATTTTTCTTTGAAGGATCTAGGGAGCTTGGCCTACTTCTTGGGAATTGAGGTTAAACGTACATAAGAGGCGCTGTTACTATCTCAATGCAAATACATTATTGAATTGCTGGAAAAGACAGGCTTGTTGAATGTCACACTTATAGTTACTCCAATTATTGGAGCCTCGAAAATGACTCAGGAAGCTGATGCATTGTTAAACGATGCTCGTGAATATAGAAGCATTGTTGGAGCTGTTGAATTATATTTCGATATAACAAATTTAAGGTAAAATATTTTTGGACTTGAATTGAATTTATTCAAAGTTTTTAAAAGGTTTCAAAAATAATTCAAAGTCCATTAAATTCGGATTTGAGCAAAAATGCTAAAGGGTGTCAAAGTGCATCCATGCACCCCTGCAGTGTATCCATGCACTATGTAGTGCATCCATGCACTCTATTTCGAATGCACTTAGTGCATCGATGCATCATGATGTGCATCGATGCATCCTTCTGTGCATCCATGCACGAAGGCTGCAACAACTAGTTTATTTGAATTTAATGAAGGGGTATCGATGCACCATGATAGTGCACCGATGCACCATGTTATGGGTAGCCTTTTTGAGTAGAAAAATCATCCTCAAACGGCTCCAAAACATGCCCAACGGCTATATACAACATCAAACACATTCCAAGCTATAAATACAAGCCAATGACACTTGAAGAAGAAAGAGAACAACTATCCAAGCAATCAAACACAAGAGAAGAGTTTTTCAATCTTTTTTCATCTTTCTCTTGTAAATATTTTGTTTTTGTGAGCTCAATCTTGTAAACACCTACCTTATAGAGGTTTTCTTGTTTACTTATTTTATCCTTTTGTAAAGGGGAAATG